AATACAGATACAAAACAGTAAGCAGGCCTTGGGCCTACCCTTTGCTGAAAAAGGTGGTTTTTTAAATGTCTTTTATTAGACCAACTCAAATAAAAGATTGAGATAAATATCAATATTTATATATTGAATAAAAGATTTACCCAAAGAACCTTGTCTGTGTATGTCCTTAGACCAACATAGCTACAGCCTACACACCTGTGTGTTTTTTTAATGATATCTCATAGTAAAATCCTACCAGAGACAAGACACTGTAGTTTTTCCCTCAAAATAGTTAGTAGAAGTAAACCCTGTGGTGGAAGGTGCCAGGATGACCTCCGCAGGCTGTGTCTGTGTTAAAAGATAACCCGTGTCTTGGTACCATTTGGCTTTTACATCAAGACAGATGGGAGGAAAGGCTTAGGTGTGGTCTACACTTAAAAGTTTTAAGTAAAAAAACCCGTAAGTATCCTGGCAGAAATCCTAACATTGATAAAGTTATCACAACAGCAACAACAAGAAAATTTCTTTTCCTAGATAGCTCAAACTAGCTCCTTCAAAAGAATAAGCCAGAAGCAGCAAAAGGAATTAAACATACCCTAAATGAGCTAATTGGACTTTAACCATTTTTCCACTTTATCCTATCTTTCCAACTGAGCTCACATGGCAAAACAATGCAATTCAGATTTTTCAGCTGAAGCTGGTTATATATTCTGTGTTTTATTATTGCATAAATTAATTTGCATTTGATGATTAAGATAGCAAAAACTTTAATGGATATTTCTTGGTTACTATTGTATGAGCCTGGCAGAGCTAGTGCCTAATTTATTTCCTGTTGAAACCATTGGTGCTGCTAGCCTTTTAGTTCTGTGGTGGATCAGGCTTTTAAACAGAAGGAAGAAGACATCTTGAGCAATGTTTAATATCCTTATTTACCTTCCCAACCCATAAACTAAGAGGAGTGTTATGTCTAACAAAAATCCCAACAAAATGGGTGTATTACAACCATATTAGCATTCATTAACATTTTTAAGGCAGTTTGAATATGAAAGTGTTGTTCTGTCATCATGGTTATAAAACACGGTAGCACACAGGGCAAAAACCAGGCTAATATTCTACTGCGCAGTCAGCAATGCAAAAAAACCCATTTGCTGGCGCAATTTAGTTAGTACTTCGTTAAGCAAGTACTAAACTAAATGTGCAGTAACTACTACTTGTTAATGAATGTATAAATGTGCCCACTGTCCCTTAATGCAGTTCCCAGTTTACTACATAAAGGATTTGTCTATATCAAGAGATTCATTGGCAAAATTGTAACAGTAACTTTTCTGCCTTTGCTAAACTCATGTAACTTACCCATTTGGATATGCTCTTCTGGAATAAAAGTAATTTTATACTACAATTATTCCAGCGTAGCATGTTCATAAGGGGAAGTGCTATTGATACAGTTATTTTGAAATTCTACTTCATCTGTTCTGGGCAGTATACCCCTGTAAGTGGGTCTTTAAGTAACTTTGGCTGTGTAACAAGTCAAGTTGGAAGCTTATTTCTCAGTACTAGACTTAATGTTGAAGTACATAATACTGGTGTAAGATATGCTGCTTACAGAAAACTACAACTTAAATAAGTTCTGCCTTGGGCTTTTTGAATGTCTGTATCTAGCTAATAATTTGTTTTGGAATGTGAAAATATTTTTCATTAGCATAAGGTATAAAAAAATCAGAAGGTGGGAGTAGAAAATATATGCTATGTACATCTGATGGACTCCCTGGCTAGTGCAAGATTGTTCCGTACAGTGGGTGTGTCTACACATGCAGTGGACTATGCAGTTGTTATGGCACAGTCATTTAGTACTTACTTAACCAAGTACTAAATGATTGCTTAGCAACTGGTGTTACTGCGCAGTCCTGTCGCTGCATGGTTATTTTTAGATGCTACTGCGCAGTAGCAACGGGTTTGTGCCTGGCAACACTATGGCGCCGTAGTGTCTCGTGCAGACACGCCCAATGTTCACTATTTTCTAGGGCTATCTCATTCCATGTTGAAACAGCGCAAGAAATTGTTCCTCTCCTGTGAAACTATTGTACATCTATCTGTGTGACCCTGTGCAGTTTTTGTTAGGTAGCAACATTTCCTTACTTCATTTAAAACCACATCAGTACAGTATTCCTAAATTCTTCTCGCCATAGTTAAAGAAAACACACATGCATGTTTTAAGTAAGCTGCTGGAAAAACACAAGGTAACAATGCACGATTTATGAATAGTATTTAGATATTTACTGTATTAATCCCATCAAGTACGGCAATTGAAATACTGAAGGTTTTATTCACTAATTATAAAATACACCTGACAATTTATCATAAATGACATTTGGAGGTAAACGAATAACAAAACCATGTTCTAAACCTGCGTCCTCTGTTGCTTGTTCAAACATCAATTATTACAGCTCCTTCAAATTGTTTTGTAATCTTGTTAAGATAAAATTTTATTCAGTAAATAGCAGTAGTTTGGGTGCAGAGAAAAGAAGAAATAACTGCAAACTGAACTAAATTACATAATTCTTCCTATATTTGATGAGATAAACGTGAATATGGGTATCCTAATGATGCTATAGAGATAGTTGTTATTTATTGACCAACACTCTTTATGACAGTGCTACTTATTTAACAGGCTACAATCTAAGAAACTTTACACTATAAGATCGTCATTGTGTAAAGTATTAAGTCCTTAGCAAGTGAATCAAAATGAGTTTAACATTTATTCTACTGAAATTTTACTTAAATTTCTTACTAAATCGTATATATTATGGAAATTCTGTTATGGTGAGACATATAATCCAAGCCTTCTTGCAGCTTCTGAGATCCTGGGTGTTTTTTTTTGAGGAAAAGGGTAAAAGGTTAGCTTGTTGGAAGCTGGCATACATTTTGTGGATGAAATCTGCTGATCTGTCCAAATTGCTGAAGTGACTGACTTCAAAGGAGAATTCTGGCTGATATCTGAAATGGAGGCACTATTCTCACCAGCGGGACTGCTTAACACACTTGAATTTTCCAGTTCATCAGGTAATTTTGTGGCTTGTTCATTCATTGTTTGTGATTTTTCACATGGCAGTGTGATATTTTCCTTCAGAGTCAGTCTCTCGTTGTCAAAGCTACGTGGTTTGTTCTTGCAGTGGGAAAGATCACATGGAGCTCTCTGGCAACCAGCTTGAACTAGTCGATGGATTCCTAAGTGGGTACGCCATGCTGAATTGTCTTCTATGTTGCCATTGCAAGTCAACTCCAGGCTGACGTTTCTGACAGGAAGGCATTCTTTAAATGCTTTTGTTTTCCTTTCTTTCTTATTAATTAGAACTGCATTGACCAGTGATTCTTCATGAACAGAATCATTCTCACCTGTGAAGAAAATACATATATACACATTATTACTGTGGCAGAAATTAAAGATCCAGTTTCTATGGTATAAATTCAAGCAGAGAGTTTTTTAAGGGCCAGTGGGTCTGTGGTGGTTGTTCTGCCTATTAGGAGTGCAAGTTCTGTTTTTGTCTGGGTGAAGGGATGCTTCTTATTCACCTATACAGTGCTGAATGCATAGATGTTGCTCCCTAGGTCAGTCAAATAATAAATATGATGAACAAAATACTGTGCTGAGCTATAGTCTGTATCAGCAGTAGGCAAAACAGTGGATCCAGCCAGTGGCTGGACTCCATTTCCCAGCAGCCCCTGCCTGCATGGCTGGGGCCAGTTTCCATGAAGACCCCAGCAGCAGCTGTGCTGTGATAGTGCAAGGCTGGAGTTTCCATGGATACTGGCCCCAGCAGCGCTGCCAGGGTGTGCGGCAGGGCGGGGAGCTGTTCTGGAGCTGCTGGGATTTTGTAGTGGTGACAGTATGGTTTGGAGCAAGGGCAGAGATGCACTCTGCAGTCTGCATGCTCCAGGTGGGGACACGCAGGCTGCAGATTGCGGCTCTGTCTTGGCACTGGACCATGCTGTCAGTGCTACAACGAGCCAGGGCAGAGCTGTGTCCTGCTGCCTGCACACCCTGGCCTGAAGCATGTAGGCTGCAGATCATGGCTCTGCCCTGGTTCCAGACCGTGGTATCACCCCCGCAAGATCCCAGTGGCTCTGTAGCAGCTCCCTACCCTGCTGTGCGCTCTGCCGGTGCTGCTGGGGCAAATGTCCATGGAAACGCCAGCCTTGCAGGACAGCTGCTGCTGGGGTCTCCATGGAAACTGGATCCAGCCATGTGGGCAGGGGCTGCTGGGAAATGGAGTCCACTGCCAGCTGGATCTGGACTGTGGGCTGGACTTTGCTTGCCCCTGGTCTATATAAACAAAGTTTGCCAGCTGACTTTCACAGATGAGAAAAAATTATTGGGAAGCATGGGTTCTTTTCATATGAATATAGTCACTGTTATTCCAGAAATGTAGATACTCTGTCTCTTCAGTGATTTTTGATGTATTTTATTCACAGATTAGAAATATAGTGTGTATGCATCTCATTGCCTTTTACTACATGGGATCAGATTTTTGTTAGTGCAAAACAAGATTTATTTTAACCTAACACACAGTATAGTAATGGTGATACCTAACACATAGGAAAACCTTAAGCTGGACAAGGCAGATATAGGTTAAATGTGCAGTATATTATCTAATCAAGGCAGATAGATGCTCAGCTTGGAATTCCCCCGCCATAGGCAATTTAAGGCAAAGTGTTGGCCACTTAGGGTTGCTTAAGTAGTATCCACCTGTGCTTTCATTCTGTTCCCTCACCCAAAGGGGGTGAGAGATGCAAATGCCTTCTGTAGTCACCTCATTAAGAAGTTTGCCTATATTAAAACAGAAATGTACTAAGAAAACAACATCACGACATATAATTGTAGCCTTGAGTAATGAGACGGCTAGAGCCAGTTTCTACCCTGACTTAACTCTCAGTGCCTCCACTGAACATAATTAGATTTTACAGAAGATCGGGGCAGTGTAGAATTTGACAGTGTCTTAATTCGTGGGAGACAGCCTGATCTATGGGTCTGTACAGGGGTTGAGTTTTTGTATTTGTGCCTTGTGAATATTAGTATTGCCATTTTCTTTTTGTGAGATTTATAGCTAATCTTTGATTATTAAATGTTTGTAATTAACCATTATTAAATATTTGTAAAGCACTATGTAAATATGATAAATTCTTAATGTACAAGATGTAAGGTAAATATTACTACTAAGTTAAAGGCAGCTTTAGTATCTGCAGTCATTGAATTATTAAAGACCTTTGTACTTTTAAAATGACTGGAAGCTGAGCCCTTACACTTAAAACATTTGATACTTACTAACATACAAGTAATAATTAAATATATTTTTAGTTAGTATATATCCTGATTAAAGTGGAAATTGTGAAGAATGTTGGTCTTCAATCACTACTTTGATTTACCTGCAAAGACACCTGTTGAAGTCTGGAGTCTGAGGAATATTAAAACAAATACTAGGGATAGAAAAGTACTGACTATATTTAAAAATAAAATAGTTATTTATGTGGATCACAGGGTGCTCAACCTTTCAGCCTAGGATTTAAAATCAAACTGTTGTTGCCTGAAGTGAATAGGACTCTGCCTTTAACATTTTAGTAATTGTTTTTTCTCTGGTGCAGTGGTTTTTACAATAAAAATAGAAGTGTCAGATCCACTTGTTTGACTGGAACTGTCAAACAGTAACAAAATCTGTTTCTTCCAAGACACTTATAAAAGTTCTCTCTAAGGTTGAGAGAACGCATAAAGTCCTGTTGCTTTGAAAGTTGATGTACGGTGTTACTTTAACTCAGGCTCTACAAGAGGTTATGTGCATAGAATTCACAGATGACCTTTTAAGAGAAGTCTGAAGGCTATACATACGCAATGGGCTACATCTGCAGTATATTACGTAACTCTCCCGCACTCCAAGGTAAGTCTTTTATTTATGTTGGTTAATCTCCCGACACTGCGCTGAACTCTGCTGTTAAGGTATTACTTACGCTGGCCTCATTGCAATCATGTTATATTACTTGTCCTTTTTAACTTGCACGTTTAAATAAAGGGCTGTTACTGCAAGGTCTTTATATTTTTCAAGGTTTCCAAGGAGCATGTGTTGTTTGACTTTGACAATAGCCTTAGAAACTATGAAGAAGCTCTCTGCAGGCAGGGTCCTTTTAATTGCTGTACACAGCTATATACTTTAAGTGTCCTTCCCAGTCTAGTTCCCAGAACAACAATCACTTTTCATTTCCAAGCCTATCATACACAATGAATTCACCGCCTTATTTTTCTCAAGTGGAGATTTTCAAAGCCTGCTGCCTTCCTTGTCTTCTCAGATATCAGGAAGAGACTTAAGTGTGACCACATCTGTTCTTAGTAGGGACAGAAGAAAACTATGTTCCCAAGTGCCTTCCTGAATTATTAAGCCTTCAGCCTAAAACCCAGGGGAACAGGTGCATCTTGTGTTTAAAGGTTCCCAAATTGATGGCTCTTGCAAGCAGAGGTTGGAAGCAGATGACACCCCTCTTCCAGTTCAACCAGGGGGCATGAGAAAAAGTACTCTGGTATCATGGTAGGAGCAGCAGTTTTTCATATAGGCAGAACCCAAATAGTTTGTTTATTGGTCAAAACAAAGACATTAGGCTGGGATTTTCAAAGGACTCTAAGGGCACAAGTCACATAGCTTCAGCTGAATTCCATTGGGAGCTGGGTACCTGACACCGTTTGGCTCCTTTGAAAATCTCGGGTGCCTTAAACTTCATGTGGAAACAGTTTGTTAGCCATGGAGATCAGTGACTACGTATATAATTTGCAATTAGGACAGAACACCTCATAAATCAGTTTTCTCATTTTGTACCAGTTGCAGTTTCCTGATAGGTTGAAGATAAAACTCTGTAAGGCTCTCAGCCTTTTTACACTGGAGGCATCCGTGGCACCACATTTAAAAAAACCCTGCTTGAAGAGAGGCTGAAGAGGAGGAGTAGTGGACAGGAAAGAGCCTGTGCTGCAGTGAGTGAGGAGAGGAGGAGCAGTTGGAAGAGAAGAGCCTGGATCTCTTCACTGAAGCCTGTGCTTATCTCCCCTCTCCCTGATGTGGGGAGAATCGGGACTCTATGAGAGGGACATTGCAGTATCCTACCCTAGAGGTGGTAAGGCAGACTACCTGTAGCCAAGGCCACATCTGAAAAACAATGTAGCCTTCCAGCCAAGCCCAAATAAAAGAAGTGATGCTTGCAAATTACTGCTACCTGAGAACCCAGAAGCAATTGGATGTGCAGTAGCCTCTTCACCTTGCACACCTTAAAAACGTGGAATCAAATCCTCAGTTCTGGTCAGGCCCGTGTAGCTACTTCAGATAAGAATATTAACCTCTCTGAGAGTCCCATACATTTGCCAAATGAGAAAGTTTGGTGGAACAAATTTTATATTGATCTCTATGCTTGTACAGCATCTCATAGCCTGCTAACTGATAAAGGAAAGGTTTTTTGGTGATAATCTTTTATTGGACCCACTATATAGTTGGGAGAGATGTTAGGCTGTGGGGCACAAAGTGCCCTTCCTCAACTCTAGGAGAGAAGAAGGTACAGTCTCAGCTAAATACCAAATAAAAAATGGCTGAGATTAACACTGCATGTAAATAAAAGCAGTCACTTAGAGCAGCATTTCTCAACTCATGGGTCATGACCCAAAAGTGCAAGAATATATAAAAGGGTTGCAAACAAACTTTAAAAATGGATCCTCCTTTACAGGAGAAAACATGGGCAACCATGGTTTTCCCCTTGCAAGCTGGCAGAGCTCCAGCCTGCAGAGGGCTGCTTGGGGCCCCCCATGTCCCTCACATACTCCTCCCTGCCCCACATACTTGGGTGGGGAACAGCAGGTTGGGAGTGAGGGACAGTGGGTTGGGACTGGCCATCAATGTTTACAAATGCATCCTGGGACAAAAAAGGTTGAGAACCACAGACTTGGAGGAGTGAAGGAGGGCTGCAACCCCCTGACGGGCATTTGGGCAGTCCTGAGCATAGTGGTTAGGGGACTCGGCTGGGAGTCCTGGGTTCCAGACTTTCTGGATTATTTTTGGTTTTCATTGATTGAATGACTTTCTAATATAAAAGGCATAAACAGTCCCAAGGAGAAGGACCATAATCCTATTCCTAAGTGTGTTGGCCTAACACTGGACACCAGGCTAGATTGAGGACCTCTTGTTGGCTCTTCTGGCTCCTGCACAGGGGCCCAGCTTCAAGAGGTGGGGTAGGTAGCTTGGTCCACTCTCCTCAGAGCTGGGAGATGTGAGCTTGAGTCGCTGCAGGCTAAGGCATGCCTAGAACCTGGGTCTCCTATTGTCTGGTCAAATGCTATAGCTATGAAGCTATGGGAAAGGAGAACACCGCCTCCACCTCTCTCCTCTGTGACTTTGAATGAAAGTCAGTGTGGCTGTTGCGCTTGGTACTTGGTAGTGCAGGTGTGTTTGGGTGTGCTGTATATGGACCTCCTGGGTTGGACCCCTTTGGGGTCTCAGGTGAAGATCAGGTATTACTCTTTCCTGAACCTGAATTGCAGTAGAGTTTAGGTGGGGTAAGTGCTGATTTGCTCAGATTGGGGCACTTCTCTGTGTGTGGCAGCCTATGCTTAGGCACTTAAGGAACAATTCATTCCCAAGTGGAGACAGCCCAATGGATTTGGAGCTGCTGGAGTGGTGGTATTCTGCATCACTTTTTGTGACTTATATTCTGTATTCATCCTAAGGCCCTTTAGGTGCCTAGTTTATCAGTCTGGATCTAGCTCTCACTCTGAGTGCCCTGCCCAAATTTCAACTCAGGTAATTGCTTTCCTTTTATCCAAAGTCTCTTTGGAGTTTCATCTGGATGTAAAGCTCATTTGTACTTTCTTTGCTTTGTATTGTTTCTGTAGCCCATGAAACAGGTGATGTGTTTCATGCCAGAGGTGGCTATATTTTAGTATATGTTGAAGGTATCTGTCTGTATGCGTACCATTTTCCTTTTCACATGGGTTTACAACTTGGAATTGTATTTCAGGGCCTTTGAGTGAAAGCAGATCTAGAACTGCATTTATTACCTGTCATATAATTAATTTTTTCAGCAGTTTTATAGTCAGCCAAAATCCAGAACAGTGGGAAAAATGCATAGAAAATGTGAAGAATGAAATAGGCTCAATTCTTTTCAGCACCCCCCCCCATATGCACAAAATTATTTTAGATTTAAGCCAGTGGTGAGATCAGCTATGAGATCTTTTTGAGGGTGCCACGTAATATTAGTGTTGTTAGGTGAGCAAACATGTACACGTGATTCACAAGAGAAACCCAGATTTGAAACAGGAATCCATAGTATCAAAACCATTCTCTGTTGTAGTTTTTCTGAGTTCTTTACAACAGAAGAATTGCTCTATTATGTTTTCATAGTCACAAAATGAACAAAAGTTAAAAGCTGACATTTTCTGAAGGGTGCCTGAGCCTATTCAGGGGTGCTTTGAGTCTAGAAAGGTTGAAAAGCACTGATTTAAGCACAAAGCTGGGAATTCTAAATGTATCAAATGCATTTCACTCATGCCTGAAATAAATAACAAACTCTTAAATGTAGATTAATTCTGTTCAAACGGCAATTAATTGTTTCATAAGGAAACTTAATCAAATAATTGTTGACTTCAATGGCTCTTCAGATCAACTTAGAAAGTAACTGTGAGCATAATAATATGTCATTTATAAGCATATTATAACAACAATTTAAGATATTTATGACACCAAAACCTATCAGGTGTGGCAGCTGGATGTCACATGTCTTTTGTTCTTCTGTGGGCATATATTCCAAATCATATACAAGGAAGACACCTTGAACGGGCAGCTCTGAAAGCAGCATGGTAAAGTCATCCACACTGATTCCCAGTTTAATTAACATTTAACAGAAGCCTGATTTCAGATAGACACTTGATTTTTGTTCCTGCTTGGGGTAGTCTTTTAGATCAAATTGCTTTAAGTAAACACAGTAAAAAAACAAAGTGCAAGGTACAGTATTGTTTAACCATATGGCAAGCACTCGGGAAAGCAAAGATGTAATAGAACAGCTCTATTTCAGATGTTGTTGACAAGAAACACAAAATAACTAGTATCTAAGAAAACTAAAATCTATATCCTGTCAGGAATGGTACTTAACTGACTTCAAACCTTGTCTCAAAATATGGATCCGCTGCAAACAAAAACTGTACATTGTTCTGTTAGCTCCCCTTCTAAGTTTTTAGCCTTTAGACTAATTCTCAATAAATGAATGAAGAAATGAAGGACACGTTAGTGACGTGAAGACAATCTATCCATTTTGTACTTTTCTTAAGAGCTGTGCTAGGAGTACAGAAGTATCACAGGTTAGTCAAGACTTACAGCAGTTTCCTTTATTTCTATGTTTATAAAGCTTAGTTTAAGAGTCCGAGGCATACCTGTTTTAAATACAATAATGTGTGTCTTCAGCTTTTGCTTCTGTTTTATACAGTCATACTGCTCCTCAAGTATGCTTACATCCATCTTGGTTGGCTGCCCGTCACAGTCTGAAGCCTGTTGCACTGAGGTGTGAGTCACTGTGAAAATACTGCCCATGTATTTGTAAGCCTTCACCATCCGTTCCCACAAGGAAGACAGAGTCAAGCAGAAGCAAGGCATCCCTTTCATTGTTTGCAAAGAAGAAAATCAAGTTTGTAACATCTGAAATAACCCTGATTCAAGCAGTATCTTTTTCATAAAGCACCCCTCTTCCCTGCCTGGTATGCTCAGTGTTGTAGATTGCCACTGACTTGTTTTCAGTGACATTCAGTGTGTCCTGAACTTGTGAATACAGTTTTAATAACAATAACTGTGCAGTTAGATTTAGTGTTGATTTAAGGTTGAGCATGCGAACGTTTGCCAAAAAACAGTGAAATACAAAACCTCATTGAACACAGCCAAGCGCACAAAGGGCTGGATAATACTGGTTTATGTAGCAATGTTAATTTTTAAAGGCATATTATCATATTGATCTACCAAGACCGTGGATCCGTTTGGGAAATTACACCTGCAAGATTCTTCTCATGTATTTACCACTTCATCCCTTTCTCCCAGTCTCACTGGCAGTGCTCCTTAAAGAACTTTTAAAAAGCAGAAAAGATTAAAAGTAGAAAAGAAATAAATAAGAAATGAAGAAATAAAAATGAAAGAAAAAGAGGTGAACAAATCTGTACACCTCAGTCTCCTCTGAGAATTTGTGCACCTGGGTTAGTGTAGAGTGATGTACCCATGATAGTCCAGAAATCGTGCTCCTGGGTTTGCATTATTGCAAAGAATCAGTGTAGATAAAGTATAGATAGAACTGGGAATACTAACAGTGGGGATTATGGGGTCCAGTCCTGACTCCTCCTTGTTTGATCTCTTCTGCTTTTCAGTTCTCCATCTGTAAAATGGAGGAAATTATACAGTGGATTCCTCTTATTGCAATAGCTTTGGGATATGGTGATTTGATTTTATTAACCAGCTGATTCCATTAAAAGGGGACCTGTTTTTTTAAGAACACAGATACTCACTTCTCCCTCACGGCCCTGCTCATGCCTCTCACTCCCCACCACCCCATTCCCCTTGCCCCCCAGCACCGCTGGAAAGGGCCCTCAGCTGCCAGGGCTTTGGGCCAGGGACCCAGGTCTGCAGCCCCCTTCCCCCGGCAGAAGCCCAGCTCTCCACCTGCTGCTGCCCACTGTGGGTTCAGGTGTGGGGGGGTGAAGCCAGCTCCCCGGTGTGGTGCGCACTCCTGGAGGGGAGGGGGGGACCCGCACGCCTCAGATCTGTGCATGGGGTAGGGGTAAGGGTGGGTGCGGGCAATGAGGGCAGCAGCTCAGGGTTGTGCCCTTCAAAGCTGCTGTGCAAAAAGTGGGTGCATTGCCAGGGAGCCCGGCCCCCACCCTCTGCTCCCCCCAGACAAGCTGCCCACAGCCCTTCCCACTCCCCTCTGGGGCCCCAGCCCTGCCCAGCTCCCTCCCTGCGGGGGCTCAGTTCCCGCCTCCTGATTACCTGCGGGAGCTGCTCTCCAGCTGCCTGGGGCCATGTGCATATACATGAACATGGTACCCAGTGCCTGACTGCCTTCCCGCTCCCTCCCAGCCCCTGCGGGCTGGAACTCTGCTGGCCTGCGGAGGGCTCCTCACAAAACTGCAAAACCCCCAGGCTTCTCCAGTAAAATGATTAAAAAACCCAAAAACTGTGATTCTGATATGAGAGATTTTTTTACATGTAATAATATACACATGGTTTTGGTTTTCCCATATTGATTCAAATAAGCAGCTGATTCTATTAACCAGCAATTCTATAAAGCGGAATCCACTGTACTTGCTTTCTTTTCAAAGGACCTTGAGATCTGTGGATGAAAAGCATTAGCAATGTGATACAGGGCTGCTATGGGGAATCTATTGTGCTAAATTTCATCTCCTTTGTATTCTTGTATTTTTAGAGGCAATAATAATTTCTTAGTCCCCCCTGCTCAGTCTTACAAAAAGAAAAAGGTGGATTTCTGAAGGACAAAGTCGGAGTGTGAGACATACCAACATGCAATGATTGGAAAGTTTAACTGAGACCATAGGCCATGTGATCTTGTTGTCCCTAGGGGCTTGGGTGGTGGAGCATGAGAAGACTGCAGCTAGGCAGTGATGTCCAATACAGATGTGCAATTACCTATCATCAAGGCCTCTGTACTAAGTATTTCACTGCAGAACACTGGGCATCAACTCCATGGCTAACAACAAGGGGCGGAGTATGGGAATGGTGACTGTACATTACTTGCTCCCCTGACAAGCGGCAGAAATTAAGCTATGATTTATGTCAAAAGTGAATGCTGACTGAATCAGAAGCAACCCCTGCTCCTGCAGATCCCGTTGGTGGAGACATGCGAACAGACTGCTGGATTGGAATTCAGCATGGGAAAGGATACTGGGATGTAGCTAGCACTGGGAGGTGTCTGGTGAGAGGCTAAGACTGTTTGTGATTAGAGATCTCCTGCTTCTTCCATCCAGTACTTGTGGCTTCTCAGAGTATGTGTCTTACGGATCACGCTCCTTAACTCATTGCCAACACTGGCTATGCTGGATGACCTAGAGGAAGAAAAGGAAAAATAGCAGCTCATCTGGAACAGTAGATCCTTTCTGTAGGTAAATTCCCCTCTAGTGTCACTGGAGAAAAGCATATGACTCATCAGAGGTGCTGTATGGACCACACCTTTGGTACATTTAGTTTGATGTCCTGCATTCAGTACCTCATTCTGTAATGGGACTTGGCCAGCTTTACAGTGCTATTCTCAATTGTGTACGTTTTGTTGGGGAGGAAGTCCTTCTCCACACCCTTAGGCAGTCAGCTTATACACTGAATCATGAGAGTTAATTAACCTTATTGTAGTTTCACCTGGCATTTGAAACAAATATTACTAACACTCATAAAACTTATTCAGCCCCTTTTTTAAATTCCAGCCACAGTATTTGACTCATTGGCCCCCTGCATGAATGTGAGTTACACAACTGTATGTTGCTTAAATGACCTTGACAGCATCCTGCAAACCTGAAATATAGGCTCTACGCTAGCAGATCTGTATGTGTCTCTTTACTAACAAGGACACTTGAAATATATTAATGGATGTACCTGATAGCAGTGTTAGGATTTTGTATTATGTGTATTTTGTGAGTGTCTAAGTCTCAATGGGTTTCTAGTACACTTGATGCATCAGAAATGCAGAATAAGAAGCCTGCCCCAATGGCTTCTCAGGCCAAACAGGAAAACACAGTAACGGGGGAGGGAAACATGGAACCATGGGGGAAAGTAACTTGTTCAGGGTCACGGAGCAAGTTAATGCTAGATCTAAGGAATGGGACTCAACTCTACTGACTCAGTGCAGTGACCCATGCATCTGCCTCTCCAGAGTATGCTTCTGATTAGGGACAAAATCTTGATTAAGAATTCGGAGGGAGGAAAATCGACTCAGTTTGGAAGCTCTGATTTGTAACTGGAATGTGATTCAGAAAAAAACCTTCAAGTGTCACCTACGCAAGCTTGTGTAGTAGGAAGGGTTCACTGAGTTTTCAATAGCCAGCAAACTAACACTATGAATCTTGATTATGCTGCTGGTGCAAACTTCAAAATGGATCATCTGTAGCTTCTGGTTTCGCCAAAATTTAGCATGAGCAAATGACAAGGGAAGGACTTGTTTTGTTTCCATGCCTTACTTGTATATTAATGGCAACTTTTCCATTCTGTTATCTCATTAGCAGACACTGTAGGTGGGGACCTACCAAGTTGGCGATTTCACAATTTTCACGGAAACTGCAAATTTGGTAGGTCCCTGCGAAGAAGCATGGGAGCCACATAAAAATGGGAAAATGGCTAGCAAGTGGGGCAAAAAAAAAAGGGAGCTGCAAACAGATGGGAAGTCCTGGCATCCTGAAGCATGGGAATGATCTAACTGATTTTATTTAAAATACATTAATTTGCTATCTACAATTTCATCCATTAGGCACATTTTGCGGCGACTCATTTATTATTGTATTTATGAATATTTATGTTATATTTCCTGGTAGCAAAAACCCCAAGGAAAAATGCGGTGCAAAGCACACCGAAGTGGCATGCATTGGGACAAACACAGCGTCTCCCCCATATTTGCGTGCTTCAGAGCCCCTGTACTAAGGCACCCTGCACCCCAGCCAGCTACTCCCTGGCTGGCTGGAGCGCAGTGTGCCTGGGCTGGCTGCTCCCCTGTCTCTCCGTGCCTCGGCACAGGGGCTGCAGTGCAGAGTCCCTGTGCTGAGACACACTGTACCCCAACCAGCTAGGGAGCAGCTGGCTGGGGTGCAGGGTGCCTCAGTGTGGGGGCTCTGCAGTGTGCAGAAATAGGGGAGCATCTCCACATGCTGCTCCCCGGCTCGCTGGGGCACAGAGTGTCTCAGTGTGGGGGCTGCCTCCTGGCTAGCCCAACACTGAAGCATCCTGTGCCCCAGCCAGCACCCCCTGCACCACATGGAGCAGTGGGACAATGTGTTCTGCTGCAAAGCGCATGGGCAGGGGCATGCTCTGCAGCACAAAATAGTGGCACAGATTTCTGCTGCTACTATTTGTGTTGCTGCAAATGCTCACCCCTGCTCACGTGGACGTGGCCAAGGAATGTTGGTTTTATAGTTTATTCAGGTTTGTGTGATAGATGTATACTTTACATAGTCTATGTGGGGTACACATATTGCTTCATTAACCCTGGGCGTATCTACACATGTTCATTAATGCACTTTTCCTATTATGAATTAAATCTAGTACCTCCATTGTGAGGTACTAGAAAAAGGTAAATTAGCTTATTTTAATATGCTTTAGCTGAAGTGCATGTTTTTTTTTATGCTGCTCCAATGCTCATTAAAATAGGTTAATGTGCATTAAAGTGCATGTGTAGATGTGCCTGCTGCAAATCAAAATCAAGGGTGTTGTCATGACTCCTTTCTCTGGTTCTCATTGATTTTTTTTTTTATACAATCTTGAAAAGTTAAAGCTCACTATTACATTGAATGGTAAACATATTAGAGCACTTGAAAGAAAAGTGGAAGTAGGATCCCTGCTCTAGTTTGATTAATTATATAGCTTTTGGGTTCCAGAAGTCGATAGTAACTGTTTACTTTCTTTTTAATGAGATTTTTGGTAAAAGGGTAGAGGTTTCCTTGGTTATAAATACAGCTTTAAGTTATTCAATTTATTATGGATTTAGCATGGTCTGGGGCTTAGTATACAAGACTGGCTGTCAGAACCAGAGGCTCTTCTTCAGGTAGTAGCTGCACACCCCTGGCTGTGGAATCAAGGCTGTAGTGTGACTATCCGCAATCTTCTGGTGAGAAACATTGACTGAGGCTGCTAACCCTTCCCTTCACCTCTCTACAGAAGAGATTAAGAAGAAAGGGGGAGTGCCCTCAACTATTCTTCAGATCCTTCTAGCTGTGAAGAATCTGAAGTTGCCTCAGATTTTACCTGGCACATTCTATTTCCTTCTTTAAAAAGAAATCTTTTATGCCCCTTGGGAATTCAATTTATGTGTAACCACTTAG